TTGCTTTCTAATTTGTTTCTTAGCTTTTATTTTACTACATTCTTGTCTAAGTATATCATATACATGTTGAATTTTTGGTCCTATTGCAACATCATTTTTCTTTGGATTCTTTTGCCATTCATTCCAAATATTTTCTCCTATTGGTCCTTTTATTTTTGTCATATAAGTATCTAATAAATTAATATCACTAATTCTACATGTTCTTCCTAAATTTTTAAAGATATTTGTGGTATACTCAGTTATATACTATAAATCACAAATTTGTAATTGTTCTAAATTTCTAATTGCCCTTATTTGTTCTTGTTCATTTCTGCCATCTAACCTATTATGATCCAAAAATTCTTGTTTAATCAAAGTAACAAAACCATCAATATTAAAATGTGTTTTAGCTACCTGATGTTGTTCTCGATTTTGGACTTTCCATAACTGGAAATAATCAAAAACTAAACCATCCAAAGTATGCTCAAAGTAATCTAACATATTTTGTGAATTACTAAAATCTAACATTAATGCTGCATGTACGCAACATTTTTCCCATCTTTCAATTGTTCTCTCCCAATCTTGTGGATCTACATTATCTAAGTTTAATATATTTCTTGCTATATTAATTTGTTCTAATCCTCTCAATTATGGAATCCTATTTTTTCTAGGTGGTTTCGTCATACTTTCATCCATATAATCTACTCCTGCTTTTTCATTATATTGTTCATTTGTTGGTCTCAAAAATTGTTGGTCAGTTCTACCTGTGTATCTTGGATTTGGATTTTCTACTCCTGATGTGCTACTTTCTTCTACTAGATTACATTCTGCTTTCATTTCAAATAAATTATTATATTCTTTTGATCCTAATATATGTTCTACTCTTATTTCTCAAATTAATTTTTTTCATCTCTTCATCTGAAATTTTATGTAATCCTAAATCATATGTATTATATTTTTCTAAATACTCTTCATCTAAATGATCAATATCTTCTATAAGTTTATCTACAATATGATCGAAATTTTGCTCAACTAAATTAATACCTAAATCATCAAAAATCATATGAATACTCTCATTTTTTTATCTCACTTTCATCTTCTATAATTGCTTGTAATTACTAAACCTAATAGTTGCGTTACCTATACTAGTTTCATATATTTGTACTCTATCTGGTTGTCTATTTCTTGTTACTTGTAAATTAGGTAATGTCCACTGAGTTCCTTCTAAAAAGCTATTCTCAATGGGTTTTGCTTCTATCATCTTTACATGTTTACTACCAAATGTTTGAACTAAATTTTGAAATTCTAAATTAAACTTATGGTTATATTTATCAGACACTTTACCAATATACATTAAGCTAATACATAAATTTTTATACTCCGTTTTCATGTTATAATTTTTTGTTCTTATGCTTACTTTAATATATTTACTAAATTCGTTTATTGTCATAACATAATTAGGAATACAACCTATGACTGCTAAATTTGAACTTAAGTCTACTTCAGCTGTTGCTATTGCTGCTTGTTGGTGATTATCCTATCTATCGTCATATATGTATACTGATGCTTTTGTGCCTACTTGTGCTATGGTTAATCCTACTATTCCAATTAATATTGTTTCCATGTGAATCTGACTAAAATGTGATTTTCTCAAATGAGTAACTGCTTCCTTACTAATTAAATTAAGTGTAACTTCTTTATCAATACAGCTAACTTCATGTTGACTGATACTACTTACAATTCTGTTTCTATTTTCAAATAAACCTAATTGATACAAATTATATTTATTTTTCTTCATTCTCTCAAAACCTTTTCTAATAAATTCTTGTGCTTCTTCTTCATTTGGATAAATATTTTTAGCTCTAACTACTTCTTTTCCTTTTCTCATGAACAGTTCCATTTTTTGTTATCAAAGGTCTTCTAATATGATTATTTGTACTTAAAGTAAAATTTTCTAATTTTTCTAACAACGATGGTGGAAGTGATGAAGATGCTTTATGTAAAATTTGATTTATTTCTACTATTTGTTCTTCAACTTGATCTAATTTTTCAGCCAAACTTAAAAATAATTGAATAATTAACTTATTTTGCCTAATGGGAATATTACTACTGGCTACTTGTGTTGAAAAATCTATTAAACCTACTGGTTCTTTTTCTAACTTACAATTTCTTTCAAAGCCTGGATATATTTTCTGCTAGTTCTAGAATTGATCATTAAACTAATAATTTATCTATTTTATTATGCAACTTATGTACTTGTTAACTCAACTCTTTTTGCACTAATTGATTTTTTTGAACTTCTAATTTTAACTGCTCAACTACTTCTAATGATCTAAGTTCTACTTTTTTATTATTATCTTCTAACTGGAATGTAATATAGTCTAAATTTTGTCTAATTATTTTTATGGAATTTTTCTGAAAATGCTCTAACAACTAGTTTAACAATTGATTATACCTATTATTTTTTAATTTTATATTTTTTGCTTGACTAATAATAAGATCTATAATACTATTGGCTTGTGGATTTTCTTCACTATGAAAAATATGATTATGCTTTCTCAATAGAAAATAACAAACTAAACTATTTTGGTCTAAGGTTATTTTTCTTTTTTGTGGTTCACTAATTTCTAAATTAAGATAATCTATCATAAACTACTACAGTCTACCTTTCTCTAAAGTTATGGCTAACTGATTTCTTAGAAATTCTCTTTCTTCTCTCAAGGTCTCTAAAACTTGATATGTTGCTCTTTTTGCTTCTAAAACTTTATGCTGTACTTCTGTGTTATTATATTTACGAATAAATGAAGGATGTTCAAGGTTGACAAGGTCTACAAGGACAATAATATATGTTGTTCATACAAAATAAACAAATGTGATATCAATTGTGTTAATGACTTCTGTACTCAAGGTACTTTACTATTATAATTATAGTATTAAAATGATAAACTTCGCTCCGATACCAGATTTGCGAAGCAGACTTGGTTAAATAGTCGGATGACCATTATAACAATTAGACATAAAATCTTGTACATCGAACTCAACATGTTTTAGCATGACGGCCACTCACAGTACAAGTATACGGCCTTAACGACTGAACTCAAAGGTACCCTGGTTGATATCTAATTATTTGTATGGCAAGCATTCAACTATAACAGAGTGCTCGAACAAAGTATGATCATCATTTTAGCAAGTTAATAATACAACTATAATAATGTTTCCCTGTTTTGGTCTAGAAGTCTAATCAAACAAACACACTAAAGAAAGAAAAGAAAGCTTACTTAAGACTTGGAGATTGCTTGAATATGTACACTTGAACTTTTATTGATATATGGAATGTTTACAAAGATAGTTGTTTACAAGAAAGTGTTCACAAGGAAGTGTTTATAAGGATGCTATGAAGACTACAGATGTTTGAGAGTATGAAGACGGTGTGAGTATATGATGAGAGTAGGATGTTCAGGTGTTGAGATGTTAAGAAGTATGAAGTATGTTTTTACAATGAATGAAACTCCACTTATATAGACTGAATGAGAATACAATGGTATTAAAATTATTTATAAATAAATGGTGTGGACATCTCTTTGGTACTTGTCATTGTCACTATGCTTCTACTGCTGCTGAAATTGTCAGCACTATTTCTAAAACGTGGCCTGATTTTTGCTTTGCATGTGAACTTGCTTGTCTTTTTTTGCATGTGAATTTGCTGCATGATTTATCTCCTGGTGCCCAACTTTTGCATGTGATATCCCTGAAATGCTCTCCTTCCTTAAAATGCTCCCTCCCTTCTCTTCTTTTACATGCCCATTTTGGGTGTTATTGAATTGTTTTGTCCTTATGATTAAAGAGAGTATTGGGGGGGGGTTTTGGCTAGTTTTCCATAAAATTTAAGAATTTACGTTCTTTTTAATACATGTGTTGTTAAATTATTCTAATATTCAGAATTGAATTCAATTAATAAATATGGGAGTACAGAATACTAGAATGGCTTATTATATTAACACCCCATAAATTGTTGAATAAACCCCGCACACTTCATACACCCCACATTTTCTTTTTCAATTAAAAAATATCTAAATACACCCCACATACTTCCTCATAATATCCTCACACCCCATGTTCTCAACATACACCTTACATTTTCTACATACACCCCACATTCTCTATACACCCCACTCATACAAACACTGGTTTTTATATCTCATTTCGTTTTCTTTTTCGGACAGAAATTTTGCAGAGTTGTTGCTTTCCATGGGGCAGAAAATGAGATTGAATTGTATCTCCAAATTTGTAGGTAAATTATAAGGTGTCTAGACCTGTAAATATCTTAAAGGCTCTCTGTCTAGGAGGAGGATTACCTTCTATAAAGTGCATCCATTTTCATTTGTCTAAGCTTGTGTGTTATTTTTCTATTAACAAAGATTTCATAATTCTGATTGGAAATCTTTCTTCTTCTACTTTTGTCATCTTTTTTAGGTGTGTTATTGTACCGTTGTGTTCCCAATTTAACTAGTATATATGGCTGGAAAAGACCAGATTCTTTGATTCTATTTCAATATATAATATCTGTCAATACTTGTCATTTTTTTGGGATGCATTCTCTAAATGATTCTCGCACGCTTTCGGTTTACCTCATGTGATGAAACATCGATTTCGTATTCCATTCGTCAAAAAATAATTTTTCTCAAACAACGTGTTGTAGTTTCATTAGTTAGAGTTTTGTTCAACAATGAAAGGTGGAAATGGGTTTTGATAGTTGAAAAAGATAAATAATACATTAAGTGATTTGGGACGTATTTAGAACCTAATAAGGTCGAAATTGTTATTCCACAATAGGGAACACAAGTCATTTAATATTAAATTTTAATATGGGGTGTATTTAATATTATGTGGGGTGCTAATAAAAAAAAGCCTACTAGAATAATTTAACAACTCATTTATTTAAATTTAGGACAACGCAATGAGTAGTGGAATTCAGAGTTCAATTTGTTTGGTTGATGGGAAGGGTACGTAGAACAATGTACTAAAATAAAAGTTGTATGGAAATCGTATTTCTAAAACAGCCAGTTACAAAACTCATTAGTTATACACAAGTAACAGAACTTGTAGACTTGAAATCGTAATTGTATACAAATTAATGAACAAACAACAAAAAGTCCTGAAATAAGTTTTTGAGAATATATATATATATATATATATATATATATATATGTGTATGTATGTATCTATATATATATATATGTATGTATGTATGTATACAGTTATCTACTACCTAGGCCTTGTTATCAGATATACAGCAATACAAGGCGAGTTGTTCCACACATTAGAGTGCAACCTTAAGATCCCTCTAACCTTTTCCTTTAAATAGGCTTCACGGTCTGATTGCATTACCATGCACAGTTTTGACACTGCTCCAACCAACAGCATCTCTGAAAGAACATTATGTGTAGCGGAGAACATCGCGATCGAGGAAAGTGTATGAACTGCTCGATCATCTGTTGCTGGCGAAACCCTAAGTATTCTTTTAGACACCATGGCCATACCTCCACCGTGTTTCAGCAGCTGATCTCTCCCATCAGCACAGCCACATAAATTGGCCAAAAGATTGAATATCAGCTCTGTTACACGCTTTTCAGGTTTTGCAAGCTCAAGCTCGATGATCTGGAAGACTGCACCGGATTCAACGATTTTAATTCGGTTTCTCCCCCACGGGCATGCGTTTATTAGAATGTGGAGTGCAGATTTGACAGCTTTCTGTGAAATTTTTTCTTTTAACACCATGACAATATTCTTGAAGAATTCAAGGTTCAACCTCTCGAGCAGACATGGACTTAGGACTTCCATTGTCATTTTCGATACCAGTATCGCTTCGTTTTTCACAAGGCGATGGTTATCCATCTGATCAAGACCACACCTGAAAACCCATGTCAAAGAATCAAGAAAGTCAGTGTTTCCATTAACAAGAAGTTGGACTTCATGATCACCACTCACATTCCAAACATGATGCAAAATTCTAAAAGCTTCTAGAAGTCCATTTGTTTCACCTCCCCTGAAACATCTTATGACGAGCAAAATCACTGCCTTGGCAACACCTGCTTCGGCCATGGAGAGCCTCTTCCTTTCATCGTTCTCTAACACAAGCGCTTCCAATTTTTTCAGTGCAGTTAACTGCAAATGAGAAACCCCAAGATCCCGAACTAGTCTAGTGAGATAGATCTTGTCGAGAGGGAGTCTTGGGGTCGGGATCAAATCAACCCCGCTGGTTGCGTTTTCTTTGCACCATTGCTGGATTAGCCTGCGGAGGGTGTGATTGGGCGTCAAGTCGTCGCCTCTTGGCAAGGCCTGCTTTGTGACTGGGCACGACAAGTCGTTGGTTGCCAAGAACCACTGCTCGATGCTTTCCCGGTCGTAAGTGATGCCTGTTACCACCGTTACGGGGTCTTTCATGATCTGGAGAGAGATGGGACATATGAAATACTGAGGTACTTCTATTTCAACTTCCTCCATTGAAATTAAACTCAACACTTAATTCCAAATTAATGTGAAAACTAATATTTGTAGTGGATCAATATATACACAAAACTTAGCGTCTGGAAGAGGAAGAGAATTTCTGATTTGCAGTGGTAAGAGAAAGCGGCTGGCTTATACCTGTGAAGAACGTTATTTATTCTTATTTATTCAGTTGTCGGTTTTACTAGTCAAACTTTCCTTCGTACTGTGCTTTGGTCAACCCATGAGAAATTTATAAATCACATTTACATGAACCTTCTTCCGGTCGTCCACCAAGACTTTACTTGTTGCATCTCATTTCGTGTCCTATGAAGGCATGGCGGGCCCACGAGCTAATGGGCAAAGAATTGTTAAAATGGTGGCCCATGCACGTGCAGACGATCTTATGGAATATTTCGTAATAGAGAGAATGAAAATGGAAAAGTTTGGCAGGCGCCCCTTGACACTGTGCACCTCAATAAAAATATAAAAACTAAACCTATTAACGACAACGAGAAGATTTGCTTAATTATAGGATTGTATCAATTAGCTATTGTAATTAGGACACGTAATACTAGTCGATAACGATATTTATCTTCATTTGTAAATGAGAAATTTTATATTCGAAATTAAATATCGTAAAATGTGTGTTTTATACCTATTTATTTTCTTCAGTCTTAGTGTAAATATATCATTTTAAATTGATTGTAATTAACAATTTTGTATGAACTTACGTACAATTTTTTCAACAAGTAATCAGAGTGATTTTCCTCACCATTTCCAGTTCTAAAGATTATGTAAATTTAAAGTAAAATTCCAATAGGACTTGGAGATCAAATCATTATAAGCTTTGTTTTACTTGTAAGGCAAGAAAACCCATTATAACTAGTATAAATAAAGGAATTAGGCATGAAAAATGACACACATAATTTATCGAATCCTTCTCTCTTTCTCTCTTCTCTAATCGGCCACTCACTCTTTTCTCCCTCCCAATAGTTAGTTTTACAACGCTAATAATAACTTTGTATCAAATATTATTCATAGAAGTCGAACACATATGATCTTCTCTCTATAAATAAAGAAGGATATGATTTGTAATGGAAATCTCGTATCCTTGGATGAATGACACTTATTCTGAATAACTAGATAAATAATGGGCCCCCACTGCTTTTGAACTTTGACTACCCAATCAACGTACCAAAACCTGTTAGCGAGAAACAAACAATCAATCCAAGACTCCAAGTATATCTAATGCGTCACCCAAAGTTGATCAAATTTCTTTAATGAGTTGATAAAATTACAAAAACAAGAGCTTGTTGAAAAGTCTCAATGTCTGTTGGCAATGAATGCCCACAAAGCAAAAGTCTTCTGCATGGGCAAAGTTTTCAATGCCCATGCTGAATGAAAGTGGAAAATGAATTGTAATGTCAGAGGATGCGTTTTAAATTTCAAGATGCATTAACTGCATCAGTTTGGAGTTGCTCTATAAATAGAGCACTCCGCATGTAACAGAAAATATAAGAAGAAGAAAAACAAGAGAGAAATATCAGTAACATCATCTATTCCTCTGCCTTTTATTTATTATCTGCCTGTACTATAGTTTTTGTGTGGCATTTTACATCTACCTTGCACCTACCACTTAAAAGGTTATCTCTCAAACTTTAACCATTTTATAACACGTTATCAGCACGAGTCTCTAAATATAATTATTCTCTCATCTCTCTTCGCCGAACGAACGAAAGAAAGAAAAAAAAAATGTTTCCTTTAAGGTTTTTACTGTTCATCTTCTTCCTCTGACTCAACTGCGCCGTGTACCCTCGCGACGAGTTGTTTGCTCCATGCCTGCTCTTAGTTCTCCAACTAACGGTTACATACATCTTTGATTACTTGTTTGGTGTAGAGATTGATTACTAACCCAGTATTTATTTGTGTTAATTCTACTGCAATCCAAGATGGTGCGGTACAATCGCCCATCTTGAACTGCAAATTTAATCTTACTACGATCCAAGACGATGCGGTATCATCCCCTATCTTGGACTGCAGATTTAATTTTACTGCAATTTTTAGGTGGAGCGGTATAATCGCACACCCTACCCTACATATTCGAATTTACCTGCTGTTTAATTTCATTGCAATTTTATGTGGTGCGGTATAATCGCCCACGCTGCTCTGCATATTTAAATTTCCTGTTACTTGAGTGGTGCGGAATAATCGCCCATTCTATATTACATTATTTCAATGAGAATGGTGCGGTACAATCGCCCTCCTCATTCACCCTGAAAATCTCGAGCCAGAAGTTTCGAGTGCTTATCATTTTGACCTGAAGATCAAAATGAAAAATTTGTAAGAACCAGAAGTTCTAACATCATATTCCTCCAGGAATACATATTATTGCAAGTTCTTACACATCTCATTTTCTTTCAGAAAAGAAAATGGTGAACTTGGCGAAGCTTGAATTTGCTGCCCTGGATATTACCAGGAAGAATTACCTAACCTGGGTACTGGATACCAAGATCTATCTGGAAGCAGGGAATCTTGGAGATACCATCAGGGAAGAGAGCAACTCATCCTCTCAAGATCGGGCAAAGGCCATGATTTTCATTCGCCGCCATCTTGATGAGGCGCTAAAGAGCGAGTACTTAACGATTGAAGATCCGTTAGCTCTCTGTAATGCCTTGAGAAACAGATACAATCACCAGACAACGGTGATTCTTCCAAGGGCCCACTATGAGTGGACTCATCTAAGGATTCAAGACTTCAAGTCAGTGGCAGAATACAATTCTGCATTGTTTAGAATTACCTCTCAGATGAAGCTCTGTGGGGATATTATTACTGAGGAGCATATGCTGGAAAAGACTCTCAGCACATTTCATGCCTCCAACGTGCTCCTGCAGCAGCAGTATAGAGCGCGAGGCTACACTAAGTACAACCAGCTGATATCTGTGCTCTTAGTAGCTGAACAGAATAATGAGCTCCTGATGAAAAACCATCATTCCCGACCTACTGGATCTGCACCATTCCCAGAAGTGAATGCTGCTTCCCTCGGAGTGAACGTCATATCCTCTGGTGGTGATAATCATAAACGAGGACGTGGCCACAAGCGAGGTTGATGGAATAGGAAAGGCAAGAACCATGGAGTTCAGTTTCATAACCAGGTTCCCAGGAATAATTCAGGCCCGAGCTTCAAAAATGTGAGTCGCCACAAAGGCAAAGCTCATATGAATAATGCTCCTAGAAACTCTGAAGGAGTCTGCCATAGGTGTGGTGGCAATGGGCATTGGGCGCGTACTTGTCGTACCCCAAAACATCTAGTGAATCTGTATCAAGCCTCCCTCAAGGAGAAGGGTGTCGAGACTAACTTTCTCGACCAGGCTAGACCAATGGATATACCTGATCCAGTGTTTGACTTATCAGGGCAGTTGAACACAACTCATCTAGATGTTTCAGACTATATTGTGGAAAGGGGAAATGAAATATACCGGTCCGATTGAATCATTAATGTACTTTTATTATGCTGAACTTGTAGTATTTTCAGATTCAATAAAAGTGGCATGTAAATTTCTTGTTATAACTTGCTTTTAACTCTGATTCTCTTACTCAGAAAGCATGGATAAAAATTGTGGTTATTCTCAGAACATGAGAAATGGTGGAGATATTTGTCTTGTAGACAGTGCAACCACACATACAATACTTCGTGATCGAAAGTATTTCTCAAGCTTAAAACTTACAAGAGTAGGGGTAACAACAATATCAGGACCTTCAGATGTAATTCAAGGTTCAGGGCAAGCCCAGATTATGTTACCAAATGGAACAATATTGTCCATACATAATGCATTGTATGTTACTCGATCTACTCGAAATTTGTTGAGTTTCAAAGACATACGTCTAAATGGATACCACATTGAAACAAAAAGTGCAGAAAATGTGGAGTATCTATGCATTACCTCCAATGATACCCAGAAGCGTATATTGGAGAAGTTGCGTGGTATGTCGAGTGGATTATATTATACATACATAAGGACAATTGAATCACATACTATCATGAACCAGAAGTTCATTGATTCAAAGGTTTACATGTTTTGGCATGACCGTCTGGGTCATCCAGGATCTACCATGATGCGTAGGATCATTACCAACTCTAATGGACATCCATTAGTGAGCAGACACATTGCTGCCTCAAATGATAACCCTTGCAAAGCTTGTTCTCAAGGGAAGTTGGTAATTAGACCATCACAACTAAAGGTTGATGCTGAATTCCCATCATTTCTGCAAAGAATTCAAGGGGATATTTGTGGGCCTATTCAACCATCATGTGGACCATTTCGATATTTTATGGTTTTGGTTGATGCATCTACCCGATGGTCACATGTTTGTCTTTTGTCTACTCGGAATGTAGCATTTGCGAGACTTCTTGCTCAAATAATTAAGTTAAGAGCACAGTTCCCAGATTATCCCATTAAGTCAATCCGACTTGATAATGCTGGTGAATTTACGTCTCAAACCTTTGATGATTATTGCATGACATTGGGTATTGATGTTGAACACCATGTTCCTCATATCCATACTCAAAATGGTTTAGCAGAAGCATTGATCAAGCGGCTTCAGTTAATAGCTCGCACTCTGCTCATGAAAACCAAATTGCCAGTCTCTGCATGGGGACATGCCATCTTACATGCTGCATCATTGGTTCGATTGAGACATATAGCCAACCATCAATACTCTTCAGTACAACTCGTGTTTGGACATCAGCCAAACATTTCCCATTTACGAGTTTTTGGTTGTACTGTTTATGTGCCTATTGCACCGCTGCAACTCACTAAAATGGGACCTCAGCGTAGACTGGGAATTTACGTGGGTTTTGATTCACCATCTATCATTAGATATTTGGAACCCTTGACAGGTGATATGTTTACAACTCGTTTTGCTGATTGTCACTTTGATGAGACAATTTTCCCGTTGTTAGGGGGAGAAAAAACCGTTCCAGAAGAACGAAAAGAGCTGACATGGGTTGTTCCCACCTTGTCTCATTTTGATCCTCGCAACATTCAATGTGAAAATGAAGTGAGAAGGATCGTTCATCTTCAAAGCATTGCCAATCAAATGCCAGATGCATTTAATGATGCTATGAAAGTGACAAAATCAAATATACCAGCTGCAAATGC